CTCTCTCTCTCTCTCTCTCTCTCTCTCTCTCTCTCTCTCTCTTTCAGAAAAGTTTCATCTTCCAGACATCTGAAGACTCTTGGAGGATGAAAACAAGAACAACATCTAGAAGTGGAAGATCTAGATATGGGTCCCCTGGCAGATACCCTCACCCTAAATTAATGACTCCAGGTCTGTGGGAGTTTCTTCTGTGGAATGGGGCTGACGCCTGTCTCTACCACACAGGAAGGCCACTGAAAGCTAATGAGCTTGCAAGGCACAGAGAATGGCCTCCATGCTTTTAATTACATTAATATGCAATGATCCCATGGTTGCCATTCCTCCATTTCAGTAGAAGATACTTTTGATGCCTAACTTTACATCGGGCTATTTTATTACGCTGCCAAAACTTTTGTACTTAAAGATCTGTATGGAGAGATCCCACCCTACCAACCCAATTCCTCTGCCCACATGTAATCTACTCTTGACACGGGCCAAACCCTGCCTATCACCCACCTATGTAAGGTTTGCCAGGTCAAAGTGGTTCTCACACTTTTAAATGTCTGAAAAATAATCAAAGTATACTAGTTGGAAATATATTAAGAGAACGACATGATGGTCACATTTCAGTGTTCATAAATTACTGACGTACTGCCATATTCACCTCTCCTATGGATGGCTGCTTTGGGGCACAGGTAAATAGCTGCTGTGGAGAGTGTGTGCCTCACAGTACTAGGAACAGTTAATATCTGAGCCTTTCCAGGAAACCCTGAAATCCCCACACTAGTTGACAGCTCTAGGTAATTCAAATAAGGCCCGAGGTTCTCACTCTGCTCCTGGCAGCCATTCCCTGGAGGAGCCTTTCTCAGGTTGTAAGCTCTGGACAGCTTGGGCTGTTTCAATTTGTGCTTCTCCATTGATTTGAGGGTACTTCCTCTGAAGAACACGCTTTCTTTCACTTCCCTGCTCAACTACACATACACACACACACACACACACACACACACACACACACACACCTACCTGCTAGACTTGCCAGGCTACTACTATGAAATTCTTTCTTTAAGTCTTTTAAAGTCTTAAATGGGGACATAATGGCAACTTGATTATGAAAATATACATATGCACAAGCTCATTATTTTGAAAGACATTTATAATACAAGTTACTGACCACTCTATCAGGTAGCAATCCTATTCTCTGGGCAGAACTTGAAAAAAACTCATCTCTAAATATTGACTGAAGTTCACATCTGGATTCTTACTTCTTGCTTTCCTTGGTGAGTACCTATAAATGTCTATTTATAGGTACAAGAGACTCATTCTGCTAAGCACAGAGATATGGACTAGGCTGAAGGCAAACTCTGTGAATCTCATTCCTGGACAATAACAAACATTTTTATCTGTGACCTAGCTGGTGATCAATGTAGGCTGGATTCTGAGTGTGGTGTGCAGACTGCAGACTATTTCCATCTGTAGCTTGTTGGAAATGCAGGAATCTAAGACCTACTGAACCGAAGCCTGCACTTTAGCCAGATTCCAAGGTTAAAGACAAGTGTCAGATTGTGCTGTCGACTTTAATATGTATGCACTCACTCTCTCTCTCTCCTCTCCTCCACCCCCTACTTCTCCCTCCCCCCTCTCTTTCTCTCTCTCTCACACACTCCTTTCCTATGATGAAATCAAACAAGGAATCAGTAAGAGAAATAAAACTACAAAGTTCACAAACAGGTAGAAATTGAACAACACTGCTAACCAACAAATGAGTCAAGGAAAAAAAAAACCACAAAGAAGTCAGAAAATGATTTGAGATGAAAAACAAAACCACACATAGAAAACATACAACTCCATTCTAAACTTTGTTGAGCTCCAAACTACCATGAGCCAGTTATAATGACTTAATATCTTCACTACAATGTACAGCAAGCAGATAAGGGTCATGCTCTCTGCCCCCGTATACCTTTTCCTCCCCTTCTCTCACCCTCCAATAAATCTGAACTTGCAGTTGTTTAGGACCAGATCCTGGAGTCATCCTTAACTCCTCTTTCTTCTTCTCATTCTCTGTCCTTTTATGGCCTATCATTTTCTAGACTTAAAACAAAAATTCTCAATGCTGTTCAAGAAATAGGAAGTAAACAAACAAGCAAACTGCTAACTGTCATCAAATTGCAATTCTGGAAAATTTATATTTTTTTCTGAAAATTTCTACTAAACAAATCATTAATACCTCAATAAAAGGGAGGTATTCAGTGGGAACCCAACAATGATAGATGTTGGGTTTCTCTGGAGAATTGGCTGTAAGACGAAGGAGATGATGCAAGGGAGAGTTCATGTTCCAAAGCACAAAACTCCCTGCAAATAGTTATTAACACTAATCATGATCATTAATACTAATGATCATCATATTAAGAATAACCCCATCATTTCCTGAGTAATTAATTTGGTACTATTAGAATACAGGAAATGCCAACTGTGTGGTTCTGACTGGCTGGTTTACAGATCAGAGGAGTCTCACTCCTAAGTTAGGCTTGTTACCAAGGAGATAAACAAACCCTGGGGAACCCAGTGTTTTCAGTTGTTTTCCTTAGCGAGCAGTTCATTCATAACATTTTCTTGGATGAAACCATAGGCACCTACCTTCTTTGAAGCTGGGAGCTTATATTTCCACATTTTTCTAGAACTTCTGTTGCTTTTGTATCTTGGCTTTATTTTAAGGAAAAAAATTTTAAGAGAAGGGCTATGCCCTGCAGCCTAAGGCCTGCTCGGTTCTGTCGTGTTTGTTCTTCCCCTAGAAGAAAGGGTAGTCTTGCTCACATTCTAGATAAGGGTCCTAGACAAAGGTGTGTGTGTGTGTGTGTGTGTGTGTGTGTGTGTGTGTTCCTAATGGGGACTCATGTAAGTCGTCCAAGTAGTGTCAAGTGAAAACACAGTGTTCACTGCAGCTCTGGGGGGCTACAGACATAGAAACAGGCTGTAGTGAAAAGACATGAACTAGGCCCAGTGAGGACTCCTCATCAGGCTGAACCTTCTGAAGGAGCAAGGTGAAGGTGGAAGCTTCCTTACACTTTGCCCCTGATTACTGAGGTGGATCATTAGAACAGAGAGTACAGTACAGGCTCCAGCAGGCAGTATGTCCCTGGATATGGTAAGTTGTGCTGCTGTGTGGGACCCAGTGACGGGTTACCACCTCTTTCACTCTGAATAGGCCCATGAATGGATTTTCAACTGTTAAAGTCAAAAACTATCAACTTGTAAGATGCTAGGGTAGGAGGAGATGAGATCCTGTCACCCCCTAGAACAAGCTTCTTGAATGACATGCAAATCAGAGTGACTGGAGTGCCTGTCGCCATGCCAGAGGGTCCTCTGCAAACCCTGACCAGAGGGTCCTCTGTAAATCCCGAAAACACTGATCAGTAACAGGTTTTCATGGGACTAGGAAGCTTCACTGAAGCTTCCCTAGAGACAAAGTCATCTCCTTCAAGCATCTGTTTACCATAGTCTGACCAGACATGAATGGTCCGGTATCCCCATGAGTGGATACAACACAGATATAACCAGGAGCAGCTGAATGAACTGTAGCAAGCTGGGCACCTATACCAGCAGTCTAGAATGGTAGTCCTTCCATTCCCTCAACTCACTGACCCCAGGGACTAATTACTTTGGTAAATACATAATATGTTGAATATGTTGTCTGAGATGAGAGCCTACAAGTTCAACTTCAAGATGTTCTGTGAGCTTGTTTAGGCCTCCTGAGCTGAAGATGAACTGATCTCATTTCAGGGCATAAGACTAGCAGAGAAACCAAGAGAATACCCACGGCCTCATTCATCCCAGTAGCCAGGCCAGAGACCACAGTTTTACCTAGTAGGTCATTAAAAGGCCCAAAGACCTTATTATACACACACAGCAACCTCTCCCCATAGCAGCTCACATGAGGCTCAGCTTATTGGATATATGTCCACTAGCTGAACAATACTTTGGACTCTTACTTTGCTGAACGAGTCATCAAACAGCCTCTACAAGGATCTAGATTTCAAACCTGGATGCTAGTATTTGCTTTCTACAGGGACACAAAGTACTATTGCAACCCTAGTGTCTCTGCTTTTCCTTTTGAAAAGAAGCTAGACTGCTTCCCAGGCTTTAGATGCCTGTCTTCTTGGCCCTAAGACTGAATTGTGCTTCAGGAGACAAGGTTTTCTAAATCCTGTGGAAAATACATACATGAAGACGCAATTATTAGACTTATACCTTGAGGCTCAGTAGTGAAATAACGAAACCTTTCAGCTATTCACATCTGACAAAAGAGACAATTATAATGGCGTACTTTTACTGTGACCAAAAAAATCCATTAATAGCCTCATAAATTAATAAATTAATACATCTCAGCCTAGAGAGAAGTGAAAACTCTGATAACTCAAAAAGATTCTCAGTCTTTAATAATAAGCCTATAGGGGAAATTCATCAAGTATAGATAGAATAACCTTCTGATACAGGAAACAGTACAGCTGTGTTTTAAAATCTATTTATTGGGATTATATCACAAATGTATCTAATAGCCACATTCATTTTTATGAAACCTCAGAAATCTATATTGTCCTACATACAAACCAAAAAGAAGTTTCTCCCTTAGTCTAGACAGTTGAGTTCAAAATGTCCTTTATATGACCCAGAAGAAATGAAATATGCTGTTTTGGATGACTCTACCAAGATTTAAAATTAATATCTGTTATGATCAGCAATTCTACTTATAGAAATCTACCCATTGTATATTCACTGCTGTTTACTTTAGAAGCTAAAAGACTAAAAACAATCAATGCCCATCAAGTGCAGAATGCTTAAATAAATTATGTATCTAATGGACCAGTAGAAAAACAATACAGCTATCTTTTCATGCATGTATACAATGCATCTAAAAAAATCATCAGTAACTGTTTCTTGTGGGAAGGGAAATTGGGATAGAGGAGTGTCTTCTCACTGATTCTTCCTTTATCCTCTGAATGTTCATTTATTACCTACTCACAAATTAAATATTTAAAAATATCTTTTTCTTAAAATGAGAACACTCATGAATACCAGCTGAGTCTCTCAGGCAAACAAACACTAGTCTGAAAGTGTCTGCTTCCTTACCATGAGCCCTGAAAACCACCCCTGCCCTTTCATCCCAGGAACAGTCCCACACAAAGGGCTCTCTTTTTTCAACATGGGTTTTAATATTCAGAACAATAGATTTAAGTAAACTGTGAGACTGGATGGAGAAGAAACCATACCCTCACCAAAAGTTCTTTGCCCCTGCTGGAAGTGGTAATTTAGGAATGTCGAACTGTCATTTTAGCAAACATTAAGTGCATATATCTTCATTGCTACTTGCTTAACCTAAAGTAGAAAGGTCCCTTTCCCGCTGTTCTGATACACCTGATTCCAATGCCACGCAATTCTTTGCTCTGATCAAGAATGTCAAAGTCCTAATGGAACTTCGGTTTTCTTCAGAGATTGGCTACCATGCTTCCATAAAAATCCCAGTATCAGCCCCATCATACCAGCACAGATTAACTCAGACATCTTACTTGTCCTGCACTATGAGCTACCACCCAGGTCATTTTGCTTCTCCACTTGTATGAGACGTGTGACTGCCTGCCCAGAGACACTTCCAGATTCTAAAACCTTTACCACTAAAAGGTAAAAGGGACAACATCCAAAGAGTTTGGACACTCTGGGGTCTGTAACTCAGGCCTCAAAAAAGAGTGGAGCCCTAAAGAACATAAAACTCAGTAACTTCACGAAACCTCAGGATGACAGATACATTTGTCCCCAGGTTACCTTTGGAAAGCACATTGATTTTTTAAATGCAACTACCATAGCTAAGACATCTACTTATCCACTTTTAGTAAGGAATAGTTTGAGAGAAAGACACCAAGCCTAGAATCTAGATACTGGTAGTACAGGAGCAATGAGCGTCAATGAGCAAAGCAAAGACGCGAATACATCTTTTAGAAACCTGAGACTAACTAATCTAAGGGAGTGCTCTAGTCCATTCTCTCTCCCTCTCCCTCTCCCCCCCTCCCCTCTCCCTCCTCCTCCTTCCCTGCCCCCCACTTTAGCCAGATAAAATCTAAGTCTAAGATATGTAGAACTGACTGAATTAGTGCTCAGTGAGGTGAACTGAGGAAAAGGACCATGAAGAGACTGTGAGCAGATCATATCAAATAGACTTCCTTGTGTTCAGCATGTGGAAAGAAAACAAGAAAGGAGAGCAACCAACTGTAAGCATGGCTCACACTGACAACACAGGCTACCACTCTTAAGATCAGTGGAGGGAAAAGGCAAGCCAAGAGAGAGCACACACCTCAGATAACATACGAGGGCACCAAAAACCCACCCGTGGCTACTGGGTCCCATGGAGGAAGAAGAAGTGGGAGGGAAAGGTGACATTGGGGTACAAAAGAATTCAGGGAGAGGGGCGATGGCTAATTCTACTACTTTTAATTGTAATGGTATTTTCCCACATAATCTTTATCAAAGATGACTGATTGCTGTATATATTTCATTGTGTAACAAGTACAATGAAGTATATAAAGAAAGCTTTTAAGAAAAGGCACTGTTTGGTCAAAAAGAAAACAACAAATTAAATAAAATCTTCAGCCAAAGTCATTTTTTAGCTCTCTTAAATTTCTTAGATATAATATAATCAACTATAACTAACTGTGAATAAAATGTAGGGGAAAAAAGCAATAATTTTAAGCCAAACACCTAACACCCAGAAACCTCAAATACCTGTTGCCGGGATCCAGGAAATGGGCTGGTCCTGACAGCTGGGCTCCAGAGCACTTTGAGGAGAACAGCCAGTTACCATGTGACCTATATTTCATTAGCCACACCAACATTCCCCAGCAACAGCTGGGAGAGGCCCCCACCACCCACTCAGTTAATGACCTAGTCAAAGCTGGGGGAAGCCAGGAAGAGAGGGCCAGTTTGTTTTCTTTTGGCTTCATAGCAATTAAAGTAACTCATATATGTTAATACAGAAAGAACTGGACAGGATGCACCTATGGGGAAGACACAGTCAAAATGATGCCAAAGAGACTTGTTCTCTCAAGGGATCCCAAAAGATGGCTTTGACCCAAGGTCAGAGCCTCTCTAACCTTGTCTGCTGGAAAAGAGAGTGTCATGAAGCAACTTACCATTTCAACCTGTTTCCAGGCTTGAGCCAATGCTATGAATTCTGATCCATTCCACAGCCCCAGCCTGATTCCTGCTGTGACCAGCTTGTCTGGGTAGGGAATCAGTTACTCACCTATGAGGTTAGGCTGCTTCCTCACAATCCAGTCTCTTGCCTGACACCTCATCAGTGTTCCCACACATTTTCCGGAGGACTATTAGAAAATGCTACCTGACCAGGTTCATCCCTTCAAGAGTTGCCCTCACAGTCACCTCTCTGAGTCACCTGCAGGGACAGGTGTACTTCAATCAAAAACAAGCAAATATTTCTCTGGAGCTCCAGCTCCGAGGTTCCCTGCTCTATGGAAGAGCTTGTGTTGCCTCAGCCCTGAGAAATACTTCTGGAGTTACATCAACCTTGCCTCTGGGGAAAGCGGAGCATTTGACAGAAGTCATGACCAAAATTCAAAGAAAGGGCAGTCAGAATAAATAAGAAAGTGTTTGGAACAACTAAGGAAATAAAAGACATTATGAGTTTCCCAGACCCTAGAGTGAGAAAAGATCTAATTTCTTCTCCCAAACAATATGACATCCTCTCAGAAACAAAGAGGTATAAGTTTTGAAAAGGTGTCCAAATGTGTTCTCATGGTAGCAAAAAAGGACTCAGGTCTTTAAAGAGAGAGAGAGAAAAAAGGCCCTGGTTTCTGGTTCAGGCAAATGAAGAAAGGAACCAAAGACAAGACTGAGAGTGATTAGCTACCACCAGCTCCCAGGGCTGAGTCTTCACCTCAAATCTACTTGCAAACCATTCCATGTTGCTGCTGAGCTTCCCAGCAACACTGGAGATTTTGAATATGTAAAGTGCCAGGCATTGACCTGGAAGATAGTCAGGATTGTAAGCTCCTATAAATAGATATGCTTTGGAAACCTTCTGGAATGGATCACCAGAAAACTTGCTCATGTGCAGGGAGTAGAACACCATCACCGACTGGCGCAAGTCGCGTTTATAAAAGGAGACCGTACAAAAGTGAAGGAGGAAAGTGGACAGACATAAACAGCAGTGTGGTACAAATTAATCATGGGTGAGAGTCTGGGAGAAGCCCACGGACACCACCTTCACAGTGGACATCGCAACACTAACTTTGCAGAATAGAGACTTCCAGCTTGGGAGGAAATGCAGGGGATTGAAAGAAAAGCAGTGGGTGCTACTCGAAGGAGTGATGGGGGTGTCTGAAGAGAGACGTGAAGGCCAGTTCTGGCAATCTTCTCACAGGGCTAGACGTGTCTATGAACAGCCGAGTCCAGCACCAAGTATGGAACACTGCGAAACTCAACACACTGACCCCTAGGAACTGGCAGGGCAGTGCCTGCCTGGTGATACCAGAGGCAGGGTAAGAATGATTGGAGGCTCGAAGGAACACCAGGCTGTTGGAGCGCTCTAAGCGATTAGAGTCGCGGTTTCCCAGACTGTGGCACACCAGAACCTGAGGTGTTGGGCTGGGACCAAAGGAGTCCCATAGGTGCTGGGCGGAGCACTCTCTCACCTGCGGAGCACCAGGAAGCTCAAGACCAGCAGCAGCAGGAGTCCGAGTGTGCGGCCCGGCCTCCGCCGCAGGCTCCACTTGGGCATCTTGCGAACGCCGCTGGTAGACTCCTGGATTCCCACTCCAGCAACACTCAGCCGCGCGCCAAAGCCTTAGCCCGGAGGGGCGGGATCGCTCACTGGTTACCTAGGTAACCATGCTACTGCCAGCCCGGCCCGCTGGTGCCCATTGGATGAAGTTTTGGGTCCCGCCTCCGCTCCCGGGCCTTGCGCAGAGCAGGGACCCGGCGGGCAACCTGATCAGGGAGGGGCGGGGCTGGTGGGGGGGCGGGGGGGGGGGGGCGGGGGAGGGGGCGGGGCGGGGGGGGGGAGGGGCGGGGGGGGGGCGGGGCGGGGCGGGAGAGGGGCGGGGCGGTCTCAGCCCAGTCTCAAGCTTGTCTGGGTGTCACCTGCCAACCCCCTGAATTTGCCTGCTAAAGGACTTTAAAGAGAAACTAAGTACCTAACAGTTAACTTCCCAGGTCAGATCGGCCTGGTTCCCACTCTGAAAAAGGCGCTGAAGTTTAGAGTCTGAGTGCAGACAGGTATAGAACTATTGGGCCCGTGTTGCTGCATCTTCAAATATTCAAACTGGGAAAAAGTCACTCCCCACAGCATTACTTTGTGAAGCAAGGATTAAGTGTACCTGGAAGGAGAATGGAAAAAAAAAAGTCTTTTAAAACAACTCAAAGTTTGAAAACAAAAATGGTTTTGAAGTAATAATTCATGTTAAAATCCAGGACATTGAAGAATTTACTTAAGATTATTTGAGGGCTGAGTGTAGCTCAAATTTCAGTGGCACTAAATAAAGACCAAAATATTCTGCTCTTGGTTCCACAAATCTAGTTCAGGTCCTGATACCTAGCACATTCAACTCTTATTTTTAAGAGTCATAAATAACATTTTACATTGAGCTGGAGAGGTGGCTCAGACATTAACAGCAGAGGACCTGAATTCATTTCTTGCTGTGCACCCACATTGGTGTCTCACACAGCCTTTAATTCCAGCTCCAGTAACTCTAGTGCCATTTTCTGGCCTCCACTGGTACCTACAATCACACATATGTGTGTGCACATGCACACGCGCGCACACACACACACACACAATCACACACACACATACACCCATTATACATAATAAAAAATAACAAAAAAATATAATATTTAAGGAAAGGCTGAATATAGTTACCCTGGCACAGAATCATGTCCCAGCAACATCATCTGGTATTTGGATGACATTTATTCCAGCATCAGGCAATATTTCAAAGCATTGGTTTGTATAGTACCTCTCCAGCTGCAGGTCTAAACTTTTGTACAAATATATAAAGCTGACTAATAATAAGAGCAATTTCAGTTCCAAAAACAAAGACAAAAAGACTAGCCAGAGGGTCTTTTTTTTCTAGCATAGCTGAAAACTTGGCAAAGTACCAAATTGGAGAGAGGGGAGGCAAACGTAAACAAGAAAACAGGGGGAGGGGAATAAGAAAGGATAGACCGCGGCTTTGTGTAGAATATTGTAACCATAGGTCCAGGAGCACTCTGTTAGAGCCACAGAGGGAAGTAGGGCCCTCTGAAATCTGCAAACAGGTCTCCCAAAATCCAAACATTTTCTACAGTGCTCCAGCAGAAGAGAGCTTAGTGTTTGCTAAGGCTGTGATGGAAACTTTTGTGTTTAGCTTGGATTAAAAGCTAGTCTATTGGTTACACGGACAAAGTATCAGAGGTTGGCCCACATATTACTCTGCTCATGTGAGCCATGTCCAGTTATGATGGCTAGGGTCAGGACTCTTGAGGAAAGAAATTAAGAATATGAGGGAAATTCTGGAAATCAGTTAGGACCAAGTCAATCACAGACAAAAACGAAATAGGAAGAAATCCTAAAATGAAAATTTTAGCCCTGGAAATTAAGTTGAAAGACAAAGCCTCCAAAGTCCAGATAACGTGGTGGGAACACTGGGAGGAGCCATTGTACACCCAGGTAATGTTCAGAATGGTGTCTGTGTCCTTCACAGTCCAACACCGCCATCCACAACCTCAGCCTTTGCAAAGCTGGGTGACCATAAGCTGACTCATTTAAAAAAAAAAAAAAATGCCAACAAGGTCTGTGGAAAGCTCCTTAGGTCTCAGTCCTACCCAAAGAACTATAGGCAGCTAAAGCATGCTGAAAGTGGGAGAAATCGTTTTCCCAGGGAAGAACACACCGATTAGTTATCCAATATGAAACAGTCAGGCCTGAAAACACAAGCATATATATTCTATACACCATACGTTATACAGACTGAGTAAGCTGTGTGTATAACAACAATGAACAAAAGAGGCCATGGTTTTGAAAGAGAACAAGAAGGGTTACATGAGAGGGTTTGGACCAAGGAAAAGGAAGTGGGAAATGATATAATTACATCATATAAACTCGGGAAAAGTTAAATAACAGAAGGTAGATATTTAATGACCACTTGCTAAACACTATTTCAGATACTTGCAGGTGCTTCGGATATATCAGTGGACACAACGGGCAATAATCCCATCCCTTTAAAAACTCATTATTCTGGCTGAGAAAGAAAATTGGCAAAATTAGCATAGTAAAACAATATGCTGTAGAACATGCTCAAAAGTAATAAACAGCCAAACATAATGAAAGTAGATAAGGGGGAAGGGTTAGGCTCTGGAGGATTGCAGAGAAGAATGACTCCCTGGAAAAATGTTAACTGAGCAAAGATCTGAAGGAGGTGGGACTTAGCAATTAGTTGAGGGAAAGGCTGCCCAAACCAAAAAAACAAAACAAACAAAAACAAACAAATAAAAAACAACCAGTATATGGGCACTGGGGTAAGAGCAAGACCAGGTGTTCTAGTTCAAAGAAAGCCAAGGAAGCCAGTAAAAGAGGAGAAGGGTGATGTCAAAGGCAGAAGGTAAGGACAGAGAAATGCAGAGGACAGGCTAGGGAGGACTAAGAGTGAAATGGTTTGGACGTGCCCTTGATTTTGATTATGAAGATCATTCTGGCCATTGTGCTTAAGTATCTCAGGATCAGGAAAGACTAGGAGGAAAAAAGAGAGGATTTCCGATATCACAATTATCTGTGTGTTGCTCAACCCTCTGTTGCTACTACTTAAACATTCACTTTCACATATAGGGGTGCATGGGAGATGTAAAATAAAGTGAAATGTGCAAGTTTTATTGGGAGTGGTTTAGATTATTGTGAAAATGATTACTGCAATCTCCAGAACAATTCTTATTAAGAGCATTCTCATAACTAAGCACAGAGGAAAACAGATGGACTGTTGTGGTTTAAATGTGAAATGTGAGACATAGGCTTATATCTGAACACTTGGTCCTAAGCTGGTGGTACAATCTGAGAAGGTTTTATGATCTTTACAAGGTAGGGCCTTTCTGGAGAAAGTGAGCAACTAGGGGCAGGCCTTGATGGTGCTTTGTTTTGTTTTGTTTTGTTTTTTGTTTTGTTTTGAGGCTGGATCTCTACTCATAGGCCTACCTTGTCTGGAACTCATTATGTAGACCAGGCTGGTCTTGAACTCACAGAGATCTATCTGTCTCTGCCTCTAAAGTGCTGGGATTAAAGGTGTGTGCCATCATACCTGGCAAACCTTGGGGTTTCGTGGCCCCACTTCTTATTCACTATCAGCTTTTTTAGTGTGCATGCAGTGTGAGCAGCCAGCCTCTTGCCCCTGCCGTCATGCCTTCCTTGTCTGCTGACATGTCTTTCCTACCACAATAGACTTTATCCACTGTAGGCAGAAATTTGTTGCAACCTACTTCTAATAAGGGTTCAACCTCTCTTCTAGCCCCCCACTCAGTAGAGGTAGTGGAAGAGAAAAGTTATTAGGATGTGGAAGAAGTAGACCTGTTCAGCAATAGTTCTTTTAAGGGAGGGTCCAATCTTCTTTCTCAGCAGTTCAGTCCTGTAGCAAACACCAAATACGACTCAGCAGCTGCAGATCAGTCCTCTAGGCACTTACCACACAGAAACTGGCAGCTACAGTCCAAGTTCCCTTGGCAGGAAGACACCAGGCATGAACCAGCAACTGTAGTTCAATTCTGAGGAAACCACCAGGTTTGCCAAACAGCCTTAGGCAAGGCCACTGAAGAGGCAAGCTGCTGCAGGAACCTCACAAGTAGTTCTTGGGCAAATTTCTCTCAATGGCAGCGTTATCACAAGTTGAGCTTAACAAGTCCTATAAGTTGAACCAACACATTCATGTCCTTATTGAAGAATAACAAGGCAGAACAAACCAAACCAATATTCAGTACTCATCTCCCACTGTCCATGGGGCCATATTTATACTCTTCATCCCGGTCCTTTTACATGTTCGCTATATCAAAACATCCTTTCACCCTTGTCTGCTTCAGGAAAACATTCTTTCACATGTTTGCATTAGCAATAATACATCCTTTCACCTGTGTGCCCCAGCAAAGCAATATTTAATATAACTAACTTTCCAAAGAAACTAGAAGTTTCTGCTTCTATAGGTAATGTCCCAAGAATCTATAAATCAAACACTCATTCCCCAGAGGGATGCTATTGGGAGATGCTATGATCTCTAAGATCTAGGGCCTAGTGGGATGTCCTTGGGTCTTTGGAGATATGTCATAGTAGGACAGATCCCAAGAGAAGGCTGGGATATATCTTTACTCCATTCTGAGATATAATCTCTTACCTACTATTAGTACACTCTCAGCATGCCAAATATATCTGCAGAACCTCTGCTAAGTCCATCTGAATTCCTGAGAATCCAAGCTTAATAAACCTGTTCTTTTTTTTTTATTTTATTTATATACATTTCAAATGTTATCCACTTTCTTAGTTCCCCCCCCCCGGAAACCCTTTACCAATCCCCCATCTCCCTGCTTCTATGAGAGTGTTCCCCCACACACCCACTCCCACCTCACTGCCCTGGCATTCCCCTACACTGGGGAATCAATCCTTCATGGGACCAAGGGCCTCTTCTCCCATTAATGTCCCACAAGGCCATCCTCTGCTACATATGCAGCTGGAGCCATGGGTCCCTCCATGTGTACTCTTTAGTTGAT